ATACCCTGTTAGGTTCAGAATCACCAGTATTTACAATTTCATCAATTAGAGCTTTGGCTCTTTGAACAGCAGCTTCATCTCCGATTAAAGTTACTGAACGATCATTAGATTGTGGACTAGCTGCACTATCCGGTGTTACGTTGATCCGTGCACCACTTCGATCCTGCAAGTCTCGAATGGTTTCGCCACCTCGGCCAATAACGACACCAACTTTACCACTTGGAATGTGAATTGTGATAGTTGAGCGATTACCTCCACCTTGCAAATCGCGACGATTAAGTGCATTGCCGTTAATAGCATCATCGACAAGTTGTTGAATCATCCCTTTGGCATTCTTAACATCATCTGGTGTGCCAGTAATAGTTACTCGTCTTTCTATAACATCCGGTGGTTGATCTGTTATTGGTGGTTTAAAAACCTCATTAGATTCGTAGAAAAATGATATCACCCATCATGTATTTTAATTACCCTGTGAAAATTGGATCCGTGCTCCTGTCTGCTTTTCAATTCGTTTCAAATTCTCTCCTCCTCGACCAATAACTAAACCTACGACTGCATTAGGTACCTTAAATTCTTCTTGAGTTGAAGTACGAGACGAATCTCCGAGTGGTCCGTAATGGGAACCATGGTATGAACGTCGATCTTCACTTCCTATACCGTAACGATGTCTATTATTACTATTATCGTCTAAGTAATTTAATTAAAGTTAAGGAAATTTGATTAAATTATTATTTACTATAATCATATAAATGCAAAGAAGGATACGCTCTGGGCGAGATGAACCACCATCATAAGCCGTTCGTTTTGAATCTCTTCCATAATCTTCGTAACGACTTCCTCGATCTCGTCTGTTGTAAGAGTCTCTACGATAGTCATCCCGGTAATCATCTCGACTTTCTCTTGGACCATGTGAGTTATAGCTGTCATCATGCGATCGTTTAATACCTTGTTGAGTATCTTAGATATAATACTTGAATATTAGTGCTTATCACAAGTTATCATTAATTATAAAAAAAAATCCTTACTGTTGTTATTGTTATTGTTATTGTTGCCAACGTTAGTATTAAGATTAATATTATTGTTATTATTATTATTACTGTTTTGGGGTGCTGTATTGGTGTCGCCTGTCTGTAACAATTTGGCTGCGATAGCTTTTACTTTCGCCATAGCATCACTAAACTCAACTGGTCCTGAAGCTGAGGTAAGTGAAGAAGGTGGTGGTACATTGGAGTAGTCTGTGAGGGCCATAGAATTATCCAATAATTGATCCTCGGCTTTATGTACCTCCGCCATTATCGAATCTTCCACGGTTTTGTGGGTTTCTATCATAGTCGAATCTTCATCAGCCTTGTGAACTTCAGCCATAGATGAATCTTTGATTTCATGTGTTTCAGCCATAGATGAATCTTTGATTTCAAGTGTTTCAGCCATAGATGAATCTTTGATTTCAAGTGTTTCAGCCATAGATGAATCTTTGATTTCAAGTGTTTCTGCCATAGATGAATCTTTGATTTCATGTGTCTCTATCATCGATAAATCTTTGATTTCATGTGTTTCTATCATCGATAAATCTTTGATTTCATGTGCTTCTACCATCGATGAATCTTCGATTTTAGGTGGTTCTGTCATCGATGCATCTTCGATTTTATGTTGTTCTACCACCATCGATGATTCTTCGATTTTATGTGGTTCTACCACCATCGATGAATCTTCAATTTTAGATCCTTCAGTTACCGATGGTTCCTCTTCAGTTTTGTTTGATAAGTCTTTTTCGGGTTGAGGTATTTCATGTGTTGCCTCAGAGTCGGCTTGAACGGAAAGATGTGGTGGCTGTAAAAACTCTGAAATAGCTTCGCTGGAAGTAGACACTTGCATAGCATCATTCGGCTCAGTGTCTATCCTATTTGGATCCGATTGTTCTTGATGTGGTGACTGTAAAGATTCTTCGTTGGAAGTAGACACTTGCGTAGTGTCATTCGGTTCAGTATCTATCCTAGTTGGTTCTGATTGTTCTTGATGTGGTGGTTGTAAAGACTCTGAAATAACTTCGCTTGAATTAGCATCATCCGGCTCAGTGTCTATCCTAGCTGGTTCCGATTGTTCTTGATGTGGTGGCTGTAGGGACTCTGAAACAACTTCGCTTGAATTATTATCATTCGACTCAGTGTCTATCCTAGTTGGTTCCGATTGTTCTTGATGTGGTGGCTGTAAAGACTCTGAGGTAGCTTCGCTTGAAGTAGACTCTTGAATAGTATCATTCGGCTCAGTGTCTATCCTAATTGATTCCGATTGTTCTTGATGTGGTGGCTGTAAAGACTCTGAAATGGCTTCGCTTGAATTAGTATCATTCGGCTCAGTGTCTATCCTAGCTGATTCCGATTGTTCTTGGTGTGGTGGCTGTAAAGACTCTGAAATAGCTTCGCTTGAAGTAGACACTTGCATAGTATCATTTGGCTCAGTGTCTATCCTAGTTGGTTCTGATTGTTCTTGAGGTGGTGGCTGTAGAGACTCTGAAATAGCTTCGCTTGAATTAGACATTTGCATAGTATCATTCGGTTCAGTGTCTATTCTAGTTGATTCTGATTTTTCTTGACTTACTGTTTCTTCATGGTAAGACATTCATCTTATTGGTTAAATTTTGTTGATCGCCCGTGATAATTAACCAATCAAATTGTATAATTTTTAAAAAATTCGATATGCAACGACTATATTAATTTGCCGGACATTTACTGCGCCCAGTGTTTAAAATTTAAAATGAAAGTTACTTGCACAATTGCATAAAAAAATTTTTTTTAACTTGCACAGTGTGCAAGTAAATTTTTATTTTTCTACTTGCACAAATATAACTTTTATAATTTATATTTATTTTGTGCAGTTTTTTTTCTTAAAAACTTATTTGCACATATGTATAAAGTTTTTATAAACTTTTTGCACATTTAGAAAAACTCTTGCACATGTGCATCTTGTGCATGCCAATTTTAAACACTGACTGCGCCACTGCTATTGTTTAAAATGTTTTTTGATTCATCTTTAATTTCTAATATACTATAGATCAAGAATAACACTTTTGAATACCGGCATTTCAATATAGTCGTTTAAGCCTGTATATAAATCATATAGGCAAATTTTTGAAATTAGCAATAACTTTTAATCTATTGGTTCATTTTAAATAGTTTTATTACCAAAATGATCTTCTCAATGAGGTGATTCTAACAAACTCAAAATTATCAAAATCCAATTATAGGTTCTTAAAATCACTATAGATCAAATAAAATTTTAACTAATAAAATTAATTCTTTAACCAATAAAATTGTTTAAAACCAATATTCATATAATCTGTTTTTAATAAAAAATCAATAAAATAGGTTATATGAATATTGGTTTTTAAGCAATTTTATTGGTTAAAGAATTAATTTTATTAAAATTTTATTTGATCTATAGAGATTTTAAGAATCTATAATTAGATTTTAATAATTTTGGGCTTGTTAGAATCATCTTATTAAGGAGATTATTTTGATAATAAAACTATTTAAAATAGACCAATAGATTAAAAATTATTGCTAATTTCAAAATTTTATCTATATATTAAAGAGATATAATCCAAACTATTTGAATGTATGACAATTAGAAACATATAGATTTATATTTGTTGTCAAAACAAGATACTAATTGTTATATAATTTGATCATCTTTAATGCAAATCTTATGTTTTTAATACTCCTATATTTATTTTTTTAAACATACTCTAAAACTAACTATAAAACTAGAGATATTAAAAATCTAGTTCAGTTTAATTCAATTTTAAAAGTTAAATATAGGAGTATTAAAAACATAAGATTTGCATTAAAGATGATCAAATTATATAACAATTAGTATCTTGTTTTGACAACAAATATAAATCTATATGTTTCTAATTGTCATACATTCAAATAGTTTGGATTATATCTCTTTAATATATAGATAAAATTTTGAAATTAGCAATAATTTTTAATCTATTGGTCTATTTTAAATAGTTTTATTATCAAAATAATCTCCTTAATAAGATGATTCTAACAAGCCCAAAATTATTAAAATCTAATTATAGATTCTTAAAATCTCTATAGATCAAATAAAATTTTAATAAAATTAATTCTTTAACCAATAAAATTGCTTAAAAACCAATATTCATATAACCTATTTTATTGATTTTTTATTAAAAACAGATTATATGAATATTGGTTTTAAACAATTTTATTGGTTAAAGAATTAATTTTATTAGTTAAAATTTTATTTGATCTATAGTGATTTTAAGAACCTATAATTGGATTTTGATAATTTTGAGTTTGTTAGAATCACCTCATTGAGAAGATCATTTTGGTAATAAAACTATTTAAAATGAACCAATAGATTAAAAGTTATTGCTAATTTCAAAAATTTGCCTATATGATTTATATACAGGCTTAAACGACTATATTGAAATGCCGGTATTCAAAAGTGTTATTCTTGATCTATAGTATATTAGAAATTAAAGATGAATCAAAAAACATTTTAAACAATAGCAGTGGCGCAGTCAGTGTTTAAAATTGGCATGCACAAGATGCACATGTGCAAGAGTTTTTCTAAATGTGCAAAAAGTTTATAAAAACTTTATACATATGTGCAAATAAGTTTTTAAGAAAAAAAACTGCACAAAATAAATATAAATTATAAAAGTTATATTTGTGCAAGTAGAAAAATAAAAATTTACTTGCACACTGTGCAAGTTAAAAAAAATTTTTTTATGCAATTGTGCAAGTAACTTTCATTTTAAATTTTAAACACTGGGCGCAGTAAATGTCCGGCAAATTAATATAGTCGTTGCATATCGAATTTTTTAAAAATTATACAATTTGATTGGTTAATTATCACGGGCGATCAACAAAATTTAACCAATAAGATGAATGTCTTACCATGAAGAAACAGTAAGTCAAGAAAAATCAGAATCAACTAGAATAGACACTGAACCGAATGATACTATGCAAATGTCTAATTCAAGCGAAGCTATTTCAGAGTCTCTACAGCCACCACCTCAAGAACAATCAGAACCAACTAGGATAGACACTGAGCCAAATGATACTATGCAAGTGTCTACTTCAAGCGAAGCTATTTCAGAGTCTTTACAGCCACCACACCAAGAACAATCGGAATCAGCTAGGATAGACACTGAGCCGAATGATACTAATTCAAGCGAAGCCATTTCAGAGTCTTTACAGCCACCACATCAAGAACAATCGGAATCAATTAGGATAGACACTGAGCCGAATGATACTATTCAAGAGTCTACTTCAAGCGAAGCTACCTCAGAGTCTTTACAGCCACCACATCAAGAACAATCGGAACCAACTAGGATAGACACTGAGTCGAATGATAATAATTCAAGCGAAGTTGTTTCAGAGTCCCTACAGCCACCACATCAAGAACAATCGGAACCAGCTAGGATAGACACTGAGCCGGATGATGCTAATTCAAGCGAAGTTATTTCAGAGTCTTTACAACCACCACATCAAGAACAATCAGAACCAACTAGGATAGATACTGAACCGAATGACACTACGCAAGTGTCTACTTCCAACGAAGAATCTTTACAGTCACCACATCAAGAACAATCGGATCCAAATAGGATAGACACTGAGCCGAATGATGCTATGCAAGTGTCTACTTCCAGCGAAGCTATTTCAGAGTTTTTACAGCCACCACATCTTTCCGTTCAAGCCGACTCTGAGGCAACACATGAAATACCTCAACCCGAAAAAGACTTATCAAACAAAACTGAAGAGGAACCATCGGTAACTGAAGGATCTAAAATTGAAGATTCATCGATGGTGGTAGAACCACATAAAATCGAAGAATCATCGATGGTGGTAGAACAACATAAAATCGAAGATGCATCGATGACAGAACCACCTAAAATCGAAGATTCATCGATGGTAGAAGCACATGAAATCAAAGATTTATCGATGATAGAAACACATGAAATCAAAGATTTATCGATGATAGAGACACATGAAATCAAAGATTCATCTATGGCAGAAACACTTGAAATCAAAGATTCATCTATGGCTGAAACACTTGAAATCAAAGATTCATCTATGGCTGAAACACTTGAAATCAAAGATTCATCTATGGCTGAAACACATGAAATCAAAGATTCATCTATGGCTGAAGTTCACAAGGCTGATGAAGATTCGACTATGATAGAAACCCACAAAACCGTGGAAGATTCGATAATGGCGGAGGTACATAAAGCCGAGGATCAATTATTGGATAATTCTATGGCCCTCACAGACTACTCCAATGTACCACCACCTTCTTCACTTACCTCAGCTTCAGGACCAGTTGAGTTTAGTGATGCTATGGCGAAAGTAAAAGCTATCGCAGCCAAATTGTTACAGACAGGCGACACCAATACAGCACCCCAAAACAGTAATAATAATAATAACAATAATATTAATCTTAATACTAACGTTGGCAACAATAACAATAACAATAACAACAGTAAGGATTTTTTTTTATAATTAATGATAACTTGTGATAAGCACTAATATTCAAGTATTATATCTAAGATACTCAACAAGGTATTAAACGATCGCATGATGACAGCTATAACTCACATGGTCCAAGAGAAAGTCGAGATGATTACCGGGATGACTATCGTAGAGACTCTTACAACAGACGAGATCGAGGAAGTCGTTACGAAGATTATGGAAGAGATTCAAAACGAACGGCTTATGATGGTGGTTCATCTCGCCCAGAGCGTATCCTTCTTTGCATTTATATGATTATAGTAAATAATAATTTAATCAAATTTCCTTAACTTTAATTAAATTACTTAGACGATAATAGTAATAATAGACATCGTTACGGTATAGGAAGTGAAGATCGACGTTCATACCATGGTTCCCATTACGGACCACTCGGAGATTCGTCTCGTACTTCAACTCAAGAAGAATTTAAGGTACCTAATGCAGTCGTAGGTTTAGTTATTGGTCGAGGAGGAGAGAATTTGAAACGAATTGAAAAGCAGACAGGAGCACGGATCCAATTTTCACAGGGTAATTAAAATACATGATGGGTGATATCATTTTTCTACGAATCTAATGAGGTTTTTAAACCACCAATAACAGATCAACCACCGGATGTTATAGAAAGACGAGTAACTATTACTGGCACACCAGATGATGTTAAGAATGCCAAAGGGATGATTCAACAACTTGTCGATGATGCTATTAACGGCAATGCACTTAATCGTCGCGATTTGCAAGGTGGAGGTAATCGCTCAACTATCACAATTCACATTCCAAGTGGTAAAGTTGGTGTCGTTATTGGCCGAGGTGGCGAAACCATTCGAGACTTGCAGGATCGAAGTGGTGCACGGATCAACGTAACACCGGATAGTGCAGCTAGTCCACAATCTAATGATCGTTCAGTAACTTTAATCGGAGATGAAGCTGCTGTTCAAAGAGCCAAAGCTCTAATTGATGAAATTGTAAATACTGGTGATTCTGAACCTAACAGGGTATGTAATTTCCATTATTATTTTATTTATTATTTTGGTTTCTTTTTTATTTTATTTTTTTAATTTTCGTGTCTTAAATTTTCAATATAACTGTTAAGGGTTATCCTAAAGATTACCGTTCAAACAGCTATGGTGGAAGCACTTATAATAATAATGATAACCACGGTAATAACTATGGTGGTGGTGGTCATTACGGGCCATATGGTGGACACCCTACAGGAAAGTCTAATCAAGATAGTATCACTATCCAAGTTCCAAATGATTCTGTCGGATTAATCATAGGAAAGGGTAAGTAAATTATACTTGACTGTTGTTTATTTCAGGGATATTAATACTTGACAATCTAATTTTTATAGGAGGAGAAACGGTAAGAGCACTTCAACAGCAATCAGGAGCAAAAATACAAATTGAACCTGTTCATGGTGTTCCGCCAGTCGAGCGCAACGTACAAATTATCGGTAAGCATATGTATAACTCATTGTCTAGCTGCATGTGATAACTTTCTTGCCTCCAAACGTTGTAAATTCAATGTCAGTTGCTCGATGCGCATTGTGTGCATGATGACGTCGCTTGCTATAGGTTCTGCTGAAAATATTACTGTCGCGAAACAATTGATTCTTGAAAAAGCTGCATCTGGAAATGTACTGTCGTTTGCCTTTGTTTGTTGAGTGTGATTGCTATAGTTTTTTTTGGATAATTCTTTTTTTCCTTTTTGTAATTT